AGTCAAAGCATAGAAAGGCAGAGAGAGAGAGAGAGAGAGAGGAGTCACCTGTTGTAGATATAGTGGTGCAACAAGTGGTCATACCTGTACGGTGTACTGTCCCGTTGTTGCGATATCATAAGTGGGCGCTGCAAATGTCAGTTGAGTAGTTCCCGGTTGATAGGGTTGCGCCGGTGCTAACGATATGACCGTCGCTGGCGGTGACGGTTCTAAATCCCGATTGCGGTCAACTCCGCTGGCGATCACGTCCACCATCTGGACGGGTGAGGCCACAGGTGGTAACGGGTCCAATGGCTCAGACTTGATGTGAACCTCGTTGTGATGCAATACTGATGTATTATTGTGATGATGATTGTCTCCCGCCGTCACTACTATTGTCTGTGCATTTGAGTCACCATTGGTTAAGATAGCACCAGAAGAAGAGACAATTAGTTGTCTCGTTTCGTGAGGCGAATGTCTTTGTGGCGAAATATTTCCGTTGACAGGACTCGAGTGTCCCAAATGTTCTTCATCTGAATGTCTTGCGGGTGAGGATCCGTTGGGTGAAGTGGTGGTAATAATGGTCGCGTTGGCCACTAAATCGGCCGTATTTACAGTCGTGACGGGAACAGCACTGTTGTCATCACCAATGGATTCAATGTGTTATTTGCATGAAAGTCAATGAATTGAGTGGATTGTACTTTACCTCCAGACCATCTCTTGCAGGGATCCGTCGGACTTGCCATCAGAGGTGATGAGAGCAATGCCTTTAGTGGAGGCGTCGACAACGACCGGCAGTTTGTAGTAGTCATTGCGGGAATGGAGTCCCTGAACGGATCCGTTGGTTGTTTGGGACTCTTCTGCCGACTCGTTAATGTTAAGCATACCTGTGTTGGCAGCTGTGGTCTCGCCTGTCGGTCACAATCACCACACAATTGGTCCAAAACGTAATCAAGAGGTCATTAATTACCGTTATTGGAGTGAACCAGTGGTAGGAGTGGCCGCCTCTGCTCTCCTCGACGTTCACTAAAAGTCGTTTTACTCGTCGTCTCAATGAAAGACCACTTTTTACGGCACAGTTTGGCTATTAGTGTCCGAAATACGGATTTAATCTATTGTTGAATTGTGATCACAAAACGCCATACTATGGCTCAGTAATGGCGAAACAACTCAGAAGTATCCCTCCTATGCCGAGGGCTGCGATCAGCTCTTCTATTGGATACCAACGCACACCTCATGCATCCCAATGCAAGACAGGGGCTGTCATACGGGGGCTCTCTTGCAGGTGAAGTCACGACACGTATTCAACCTTATCCTCAACTCATAGCATACACAGCACTCTCAGCACTCATTGCAATCAAAGCCCCCGTTTCACCTGCACTGCCATCCCTGCCATCCCTGCCGTCACTCCACTCATTGCCGAATCCTATCTATGGATACGTATGGATACGCCTCGTCTCGTTTCGCCCGACAACCACACTAATGATTGGCTCTCTCTCTCTCTCTCTCTCTCTCTCTCTCTCTCTCNCGGTCGTTGTCGACGCCTCCACTAAAGGCATTGCTCTCATCACCTCTGATGGCAAGTCCGACGGATCCCTGCAAGAGATGGTCTGGAGGTAAAGTACAATCCACTCAATTCATTGACTTTCATGCAAATAACACATTGAATCCATTGGTGATGAAGATAATGCTTAGCCTGAGCTCTGCCTAAGGCTTAAGCTATGAGTCGTTGTAGTCGTACTTCAGAGTCAAAGCATAGAAAGCACTGAATATATTGTTTAGGAATTGAGAGAAAGAAATAGCAATTTATTTTGGAAATGCATTTCCATTGCAATAGTTATTAGTGTATAGTATTTGTTGGGTGTCTGTCCTCCTCATAGAGCAGTTAATGTGTACAACAATACAGGTGTGCACTCCTGTACTCCCTATACCTCCTATACCTATCATCTCTCTCAAGGTTAACACAGACAGTGCACACAACATACCTGTGCCAACACAACATACCTTTGCCAACACTACAACATAACTATGTATAGCTTTAAATTTAAAGCTTTCATTTGTCTCGAGGCGTTATTTTCACAGAATAATGGCCCACAATATATACACTGTCTCTCACATTGACATTACATTAATGGCTATCAAATACTTGAAAAATATTTTCTTCTGTTGCATAAGTAATGCTTCAAAACAGTTGGAAATAAAATATATTTTTTGTGACCAAATCTTCTGATTTTATCGCTTTCTCTCTTTATTCATATTTTTATACCATTTCTAAAACTGACTGTTATATTCCTATGGGACCTCTCTCTCTCTCTCTCTCTCTCTCTCCAAAGCTTTTGAACCGTGGATTGAGTATTGGATACAAAATGGGGACAACATTTACCCAATTATTGGTGTTTTCGTTCAAAACAAACAACAAGTGATACATTGAATGCAATTCTTGTTTTCCCATTTTATTTGCAATAATAAACAAATTATATTTTATTTTTAAAATAAGTTATTAAATATTTTATCATAAATTAAATCATAAATCAATAAAACAAAATATCTCTAAAACATTAGAATATCGTTTTGATCAATGCTTTTATCAGTAAATCTAAAGGTATTAAAAATAAATATTTTTACATTTTATGAATATCACAAGACTTAAGAAAATAAATTTTCAGATATAAACTCATATAATTAATAATGTTTTATACATTTCTTAAGACATCAATTCACAGGATTCTTATGATAATTAATATTTTTATCTAGATGTCAGGTATTTTAATAAAAAATATTGTGTGGGTTTTGTTCACTGCGTTGACTAAAATCACACAAATAATAAGATTTATTAAATTAAAACATTGAGAAAATAAATGAGAAAAAGAAAATGGCTTTTAAGATGTTTTGGATGTATTTTTAAAATTAAAACTTTTAATTTCAATATGAAATTAAATTTCAAATAAAAATATTATTAATAGTATTTAAACTCAAATCAGAATGTTTTAAGAAATTAAATTTTAAAATCATTAGATTATAAACTATTTGAACGCCAACTCATATACTAATGATTCTGGAAAGAAATGATCAATTAATTGCTAATATGGGAAACACCTGTTTTGTATTAAATATATTTAAATGTCGGTGATTTAATATCACTAATATGTGATTTTGGTGACTATTAAATTGATTAGGAATTAAAACTATCGTTTTAATTGAACTAAATATCATTTAATTTTTATTAACTAAAATATAAAAGTAAATAAATGTAAGAAATTATTAGTAAAACTCAATGAAAAGTTAGTCCAAAGCATTGATTGAGTAAAAAATACGATTTCTTTCAAGAGTTCATTGGCTTCGCATTGAAGTCATTCAAGAAGTTTGAGATAACGTATTATCTTATTATGAATGCACTGAAAGCACTGCCAGTACTTCCATCCCGTAAGACGTTTGACGATTAGCTCATTAAATGTCTTGTCTTTTGAATTACTCAACATTTTGTTGATTTGGTTTTAAATTCAATATTAATTTATTCACTTCAACACAAATAATACACGAATTCACACTTCAAACTGAATGCCATTTAATTATTAGTACAATAAATTAAATATTAAAGTTCTTTACAATAGATTTCACACAAATATTGGTCAAAATCGATCCGTTGTTTAATTATTATAACAAAATTTTACAGAAAATTACTTTATTGTCACTTAAAGTGAAACTGTTTTTACTGAAACATACATTAAAATGACTTTTGAATATGTGTTTCGGCTGTCAAACAAGTTTTGGTCTTTACTTTCATTGAGAAGCCGTAAAGACTCGCCAAACAGGTATCTAACGATAAATTGTTCGCACAAACAGTGGTTTATTGTCTAAATATTTATACCAAATTCAATACCACTTCTCGTATGGTTTTACTCTTTATAAATCTAATTACAAGTTTTTAAAAGTCAATAATTCAGGTAAACCTGTGCTATATATTTCCAGTCATAACAATGTCTCACAGAAAAGTTGTTTTTATGCAAAATGATAGAAACATTTTGTGATATAGAAATCAGGTTTTTATGTAAATAATTACCAAATTAGAGTTAATGTCACAAAATTTCCTGATAATTGATATACTTTGTAAAAATGGCAATAAAAATAAATCAATGCTATTTAATTAGTGTTTGCTTCTTATTCTATAACTCACTAAAGTCACAAAACTTTAAGTATGAGAAGTACTGTACACAACATACTGTACATACTTAGGCGTAGGCGTAGATACAACATCACATAGTTGTATGATCTTACAACTAGTAGTCCAGTTGCCGTCCACTTTGGTCTCTAGTGGTCATCAGTAGTACTGCTTTACATACATATAGTTTGCATTTATTGGCAAATTTACAATTGTATCAAGGTTAAATGTTCTCTCTCTCTC